GCATGCATCCAAATCATGAATTTGATGATCAAGCAATTCAAATTTTGAGAAAATGCATTTCGTGGAGGGAGGCAGTTTAAATTAACTGCTTCTGACACTGGACAGTGTTGGGAAGCTACTATACAACTGTGGTTTACAAAACTACTCATAATGTAGAAACAATATGAATATGAAATGAAATGTCTATTTTATTGGGTTATGAAAAGTGGCCATGACATACTAGAGTTTGCAATTATGCAGGACTTTGAAGACATGAATGCATACTAAGCAATGCACTTATGTTAGTACTGTAAGTACTTTTAGTAATCTCCTCAAATCATCAATCTGTTGTCATTCTAAATTATATATATATATATATACATTTTTATTTTTTTTTAATTACTTAAGATTTTAATACTTACAAGGGCTAGACAGTCTGCACTCATCTCTCAGTCAATACACACTCATAAAACACCGTACATTTTTAAGTGTAAATCTTTTTTGATGATATTGCAGTCAGACATTTCTTTTCTCTCCTCAGACAGAACTGTGGGTGAGGCTGCAGATCAGTCAGCAGGGGTCGCCAATGAAAATCAGCAGCTCTCATGTCAACATCAGCGAATAAACAAGCAATATTAAAAACGAAAGCTTTACCTCTGGTAAAACTGGACACGGCATACAGCTGTTACCCAAAAGTGTTACACAAATGTTACACAAAAATACAATGTAAAAACATAAAACTACAAGTAACTTGCAGAGGAGCATTGTTTTGCTCATTATGTGAGTTGTACTTCGGCTATGCTGTTCTGCACAGATGAATCTGATGGCTTGAGGCACATTAGTTAACCCATGGTTATAAACAAGCAATATTAAAAACGAAAGCTTTACCTCTGGTAAAACTGGACACGGCATACAGCTGTTACCCAAAAGTGTTACACAAATGTTACACAAAAAATACAATGTAAAAACATAAAACTACAAGTAACTTGCAGAGGAGCATTGTTTTGCTCATTATGTGAGTTGTACTTCGGCTCTGCTGTTCTGCACAGATGAATCTGATGGCTTGAGGCACATTAGTTAACCCATGGTTACTGATGCTCGTCTTATCAGAGTAAATGTCACTAACAACATTGACAATTCCTAAATAACGAAAGTCAAATATCTAAAAGTATAACTTATTAGCTGCTTATACGTATGCCATTATTGTTTTTCTTTTGCTTGCAAACTCTTTTTGGTTCAAACTACTGTGTGTGTGTGTGTGTGTCTGTGTGTGTGTGTGTGTGTGTGTATAAAAACTCATTAAGAATGTGCCTTTCTTTATATATACAATTTGACCTACAGTACATTGAGATCAGATCTTAAAAGTCATATAACCAGTATACATAAAGTGTCATAAAACATTGTATCTTTGTATATAATGTTATATTTTATATAACATTGTAACAAACCGCATCATTGCGAGTGTGATATTTATTTTTACCAATCAAAATAAATGTACGAGTCTCACTAGTGCTCTGTTCTTCCGACAGATCGAGAGAGAGGGGGTGGCGTTTAGCGTGATGTCAACCTGCGAATGCAGACACGATGGCTGGATTGCTTTTACATTAAACTGAGATCCGATCACAATGCGTCCTTGACTACCTCTGGACCAGGACACGCTGATCGGATAACATTCCGATCAGAAGCGCGTTTACACTTGTCCTTTCAATGTGTATGTGGACAACATCCGGATACAGGTCGCTTGTTAATGCCAAGTGTAAATGCAGCCAAAGTTGGATCAACCAAAGACTGCTGAGAAACACACAGCTCTGGCATTTAATTCCAGAATAGATGAGTGTTTTTGAACAAATCAGTTAAGTGAATCATTCAGTGACTCATAAAGACAGTCACTTGTTCTGTACATGAATTAATTAGTGTTTTTAAACCAATTTCTTGACTGAAGTATTCAATGACTAACCTATTAAAACAATCATTTGCTTCATTCCTGAATGAGTGATTTTGAGTGAATCATTTAAATGAATTATTCAATAACCCACTCACTCACTTGTCACCCTCTACTGGTGTAACGGTGTAACATGCAGAAAGAGTCACTGAAAAATCACCAGCACTGGGACAAACATAGACAAGCGCAGTGATACAAACGGTGAAAAGTCCCTGTGCTGTTGGATTGTATATCAGCACTCTTGGCTACAGCACAACTAATCCAATTTGAGAACCAAAACTACGGTAAGTGCTTTATAAATTTGAAATAACTCTGCTTTATATTTACCTAGAAAAACTTATCCAAATGTCTTTGTTTGGAAAAAGTATATAAACCTCTGCCTTCAGTATCTGGTGTCACCCCTCTAGAGCAGCAATACCAACAACCAAACATTTTCAAGCATATATTTTCCCAAATCAGTTGATCAGTCATGTCAATCACTGTGCCGACTGCACACACAATTATGAAACAAATACTAACCCTTAACTTAAACTCTGACTTTAACTTCAATATGGTGCTGGTAGCGCAGCCTGATAGCAGAACTGTTTGGTCATCCATAATATTTCTGAATTCTGAACTGAATCCATGAAGTCTGAACTTTTCTTGACAGGTGACTGTATGATTGAGTTGACCAATGAAATTGACTGTTGGCCAATGTAAGTGCTTTACTCGTTTGGGGGAAAAATAACATAAAAAAGAAAAATCACACCATTTCCAGTAATCAGTCCTGCACGTTAGCTTGGAGGAATCTTTGGCCGTTCCTCCTCAGTCTTTCAGTGGTGGAATGTTCTCAGATAACAAAGTATTCATCAATGATGGCAAGCTGTCCTGGTCCAGCAAATAATTATACAAACCGAATACTGCCATCTCATGCTCTACAGTTGGGATGCGGTTGCTATTACTGAATGCAGTGTGTTGGTTTTGCCAAAAAAAAAAAAAATTATTTAAACCAAACTGTTTTACTTTGGACTCAGCCATTAACAAATCAATTCTTCCAATAGTCTTCTGGCTTATCCTTGTGGTATTTGGCAAACCTTAGACAGGCAACAGTGTTCTTCTTGGAGAGAAGTGGCTTCCTCCTTGATGCAGTGTCCTACTGTGCACATCATTCATGTTCAGTGTTTGTCTGATAGACTCATGAACATGAAGCCGATGCAAGAGAGGCCTGTAGATCCTTGTTACGGTTCTTTGTGATCTCCTGGTTCATGGATGGTCACTGCTTGGCAGAGAGAAATGGGGGTGCTGAAGTTCTTCCATTCGTAAACTATCTTACTGATGGACACCATACTCTTCACAGATACTTCTCTAACAATTTCCAGCCTTGTGAACACAACAAACTTTTATCAGAAATGTTGACTGAGGCATGGCAAGTTTCCACAAACAGGCGTGATGAGGCCCAGACTTTGATAGAGCCGATCCAGGATTGTGTTCTTTCTGTTGGGCAGAGCTGCTAAACTCACACCAGATTTATACTGCCGAAACAACTGAAACACCTGAATCCAGTTATGTCCTTAAAATCTTGGAGGTTCACATATTTCGCCAGCATCACAAGTGACAACATAAACAGATTTGTGTATTATTTTTAATTGAAATCTGGTAACACTATTGGTAAGATACATGTGTACACTCTCTTTCAGCTAATACTGGCCACAAGCCATTGCAATTTGAAGGAGGATTTGGTTCGTATCTTCAAACACAACTTAAAGGGATAGCTCACACAATAATGAAAATTCTATAATCATTCTTTCACTCTCATGTCATTCCAAACCTCCAAGACTTTCATTCATCTTCGGAACAAAAATGAAGATATTTTAAATATTCTCTCATAGTTTTTGTACATCCAGTAAAGTCCACACAACAAACATTTGCAAGCACATTTTAGCTGCCCTTGACCATGTGCTCTGTGTTGATCTGTGTGATTATATATAATATATGATTATACATCAATTAAAGCCTAAATAAATATGCTCACCATATAAAGCTTTTGTGTCTCTTAAGAAGACTCCATTTCATATGACTTTGATTCATATGGATTTTGTTTACAATTTTTCAAAAATGAACTTTTTGAAGTGTCAAAGTTTTAGTTACGTGAACATTAAATGGATCGACCAAAAATTAGAGATTATTAAAAGTATATTGATTTGTGTTCCAAATATGAAAACAAAGTCTTGTAAGTTTGTAACATAAGGCTGATTGAATAATAACTTTCATTTTTGGATGAACTATCCCTTTAGGTGAAAAACAAGTGAATAATCTGCCAGAACCACAAAACAAAATACATTTACATTCAAGATATATTCTCTGAAAATGTATCCTTAATGTCTCACACAGTTTTGGTCATTAAGTGCATTTATCTTGGATGATATTTTCAAGGGAAAATCTATTAAAAACATAATGTTTTGCTGTTTAGCCCATGGTTTATTTCAATGTACATTTGAACTTTGCAAGATCATAATGATAGTATTAATGTTGGATAACTAGAAATATATAGCAATATATAATCAAGCGATGTTTGAAGTCATGCAGTCATTACCTCTGCAGTGCGGCCCCTCGTCTCCTCCGTCAGTGCAGTCGGGGACGCCATTACACAGCTTGCTCATGTGAACACACAAGTCTGAACCCAGACACTGATGTTCATTAGGAGGACAGCGCGACACACGGTTATGAGGACCTGAAAGAGAGCAGACAACAAAAGCATAAAGATGACGATACTACCTCCAAAGCATCCCACTTTTGATCGTATCAAAACCTCCATGTGATAAGCTGAAACGCTAGATCGCATTATGTACCATATATTAACACTGGAACAAGAATTCATATGTTTAAAGTGTAGGTGAAATATTTTGAAAGCATACTAGAGTTTACTGCACTGATACACAGCATCTGTTATATGTTATTTTACTGTAACAATCTGAAAAACACTTTTTTAACCTCATGTAACAGATGCATCATTTTTAATTTCCTTTCTTGCTTTCAAACACTGTTGGTTACATTTTCCAGTTGATGGTTTATCATGAATGTGTCCATAAGTGTGCAGTCATGTGTTTGTCTCTGAGTCACTGGATGAGCTGTATTTGTGTTTCTGAGCTCTTGTCCGCTCTGGAGTGGACAGGACGCTGGGCGTGGAGTGAAAATGGACCAAAACTACCCAAATCACTGACCAGAAATGAGCGAACGTGTTTGTGCAGAAATGTGATGCAACACAGCAGAGTTTAAAACAATAAATGTTCTCTGAACCTCTAGCTTACTGATGAGATCATCAATACAGTGCCAGTACAAACACACATCAGTGGTGTTGTATTAAGCCACTGCTTTATTATTTTACGGGTTTCTATGAAGCATGTGTGAGCGGATGTGTCTGTTCTTCTGTCAGAATATGTTCCCATATCTCAATTTCAGTCTCCTGTATTGGTAGGTTAAACGTCACATATTTTACACCTTACTGGAGTTTTATTTTAGGTTTTGATGTCCTTAAGAATATATATATTTGCGGTATAAGTACCAAAAACCATCTCAATATATTTTTGCATCCTCTCTCAGGAGCTCTGCTGAGAACAGGTTGATTTTGGTCTGTCTAATTAATATTCATGAGCCTCTCTTCTGATTGGCCTGTTGTTTTCTGAGTGACGCACGGCCAGGGCAACCACGGGTAACTAGGGTCAGCGACGTCACAGCGCTAGCTGGAGGCAGCAAAACAGGGGAAACTAGAGGCGGCCCATTCAAACCAGCGCAGGTTCGGCTACATAAGGAGCTTAAAATATCATCTTGTGATGTTGGGTGCCAGAATCGACGTAATGCAGCCTCAAATTAGAAATTTATGTCTATGTTTCTTGCATCTCACGACTATGTCGTGTATGAAATAATGTCTGTGTGCATGTGTGTAAAACAACAAACTGACGATTTATATATAATCATTTGTAATTGTATATGCATTGTTGTGATTAATTGTGGCTGGAACAATAATATAGCTGTAAAAATAGTTGCCTGCTGAAATTGAAATGTATATACATCTTCATCATGACTAGACAGACACGGTGTGTTTGTCGTTACTATACACATTAGATGTGATCATCTCATAGTAACAATCCTGCCAGATCGTCCATCCTTTGAGTGAGAGTGTAACGTGACAGGTCGGCCGATCTGGTTTCGTAGTTAAAGTGAACCTTTTCGACATGTTTCCGTGATGTTGTCTGGGGGTTTGGCAAAAGGAGAGTGGGACGGTGGGCGGTGCTCGGGGTGGTTACCGAAGGCGGTGACTGTGTATTTCTGACGTCACCTTTTTACGGAAGTCACAACGGTTCGTGAAAAATCACAGCTGCTTTATGCAGGCTGTGTGCATTTTACTGCGGACTGACTGTTTTGAAACGTATATGGTAGTTGCATAGCACCTAGACCTCAGTTATCATGAAAACATATTGTCAGTTTTGACAATATGGGACCTTTAACATCCTGAAGTGACTCTTCGGCACTTTCAGAATAGGGCTCTGTTTATGTAAGCAGTTCAACATGCCAACTTCTGGCTCATCCAATGAGTTCAGGGCCAAACAATGAAAGATTTGAGAAATTTTGAAACTCATTAGTAGAGCTGGGTTTTGACACAAATTTCACAATTCGATTCGCTTATCCTTCACAAGCTTGCGATTTGATTCGATTCTGATTTTGATTCAATATCAATTATTTTGGATATATATCAGGCACAGGACATGGGAAATTTTCTCGAGGAAAAAAAAAATCTCTCAACTAATGCTGCAAAATATTACCTGAGAGTCAATAATATGGAAGGCTGAAATTAGCTGATTTGTATGCAAACACTTAAAATATACTCAATAAAGTTGTTGTAATATTAAAGTTATAATACTAACTTAACTTAAAATTACATGATTGTATTTCAACTCCAATTCGTTTTTTGAAATATAAACATTTAAATGGTGGCTGCCACAAAAACTTGATCGATTTATTCAAACATAAATTAAATATTGAAGAACCGTAAAAAAAACAAATGATAATGAATATGTTATATGGTGCATATTTTAACTCTCTAGAGTTCATTTTTCTAGCTTACTAAAGAGTTCGTGGTCACCGAATATGTTTTTCTGTGGTAAATGTGACGTTACGTGACACATTGTTTAAAAGCTATTGTCATCTTTTCCGCGTTTGAAACATTGATTGAGAGATGACACGAGACAGGATACAGATTTCAGAAGGACGAAGCTGCCCTTCAGGGTTGCCAGGTCTGCGAAAGAAAACCAACCCAACTCTATTCAAAACTAGCCCAAAACTCGCCTAATCGTGTTTTTTTTGTTTTGTTTTAGTTTTTTTCTACGGTTTTCCTCTCCATCAGGGGTCCCCTTCATTGAAATCATGTTCGACCTATTTAACCCGCGGACTAAAAAAACAACCCACGGCAACAGTGTGAAAGTACTTGGTAACACTGCTACTCTTGTTCTGTTGTTCTGGTGCTTAGTGCTCTGTACACTCTTAAAAATAAAGGTGCTTCACGATGCCATAGAAGAACCTTTTTGTCTAAATGGTTCCATAAAGAACCTTTAACACCTGAAGAACCTTTCTGTTTCACAAAAGGTTCTTCGTGGCGAAAGAAGGTTCTTCAGATTATAAAAAGGTAAGAAAGAGATGGTTCTTTAAAGAACCTTTGACTGAATGGTTCTTTGTGGAACCAAAAATGGTTCTTCTATGGCATCGCTTGAAGAACCTTTTGAAGCACCTTTATTTTTAAGAGTGTAGCGCCGGCCGAAGGGTTGGAGCCCAAGCAGGTTGTGATCTGGGAGTGTGCTATCTAATGATTTTTTTCTTTCAGCAATCCTCAAGATCTGTAATAGCATTCTTTTGTCCAACTTGGACCCAAATCAACGAGAAAGCTATAGGTCGTGTTGACCACAGACCATCTGCATCTGCTGGTCCACACAGAATTTGGAACAGCTCGTGAGATAGATTTAATGTTATTTTGCCATTGACACCTGAATGAAAATGCATTAAAAATGTAATTTTCTGAAAAATTACCCTTGAAAGCCTCTTGAAAAAGCCCTCAATCTCAGGTGTTGGCTTGACATTAAGTGATTTTACTCAAAAGAAACCATGCGATGACTGTGAAGAGCTTGTACCAACAAAGACATTTAGTCACCTTGGAATTATAAGATTCTTGTTATTCACATATTTGTATTCCTTGACAACTTATTTACATTACATTTTGTTGCTGTTTTTTTTAGGTTGTGTACATTTTGGGAGTGATGTATGAAAGAGACTTGTTCCCCATATCCCATATCCTTATATGGAATGCAAAAACGTTGAAGCTCAATATCTCGAAACTGCTCAGAATGCAGATCCTTATAATTGCAAGGTGATGATTTGTCCAACTGTACTGACTTTACACAATAGAGAAGTTCCTATGATGGAAAACAGGACTCATCTTGCTCTTCTAAAATAATAATATCGACATACTCTACTTTACTCCATCCAGACCATGTCCTGAAACTACGATAAACTGCAGAAACAGCATGTTCAGAAATTATTGGGGTAATGACATCACAACCTTTTGGCCAATGAATTTCCAAGACTTTTCAAGAATTAAGATACATATTTTTAAATTAAAATACATATTTCACACAATTTCTATATCAGAGCATAACTAGAGAAATAGTACTCCATGGCACTTCCATGAGGTTTTAGCTATTATTTCCCATGAATTCTCAGGCATGGAAATCAAAAATTTCCAGCACTTTTTTTTTAAAGCCATTGAAAATATATTTTGCAGAACTCATGTACAACAAACAAAAAAGCATCTCCAATGCCCCATTCTTCATCATTTAATGAATACATGTAACACAAAATACATCTGCGCCAGACTTGTTTTCATTTTCAAGTTTATACTCATTTGCTTTACACACTATCTACTGCACTGTAATTTTAGATATTTATGGTAATGGCATCGCAACAAACCATGACTTTAGAGCACTTTTAGAGCACATTTTAAACCTTAAAAACTGCAGCTGTTTAGAAATGCTGGACGTTTGAAATCAAAAGCCTAGCTTTGGCATTGTTGCTCTCCCAGTGGTCCTGTAAGCGTGAGGGATTGTGGACACCTTGCACAGGCGTGTGTTGAGACCATAAGCCTCTTGTAATATTATGATCACATGTGGTGTTCCAGAGGATCTAGAGGTGGAAACTCTCGTTGAAGGGGAAACGCTCGGTCAAAAAACCTCAGCCACATGGAAAACTCTGGAATAAGACCCATCACATGGGGAACGTGACCTGGGGCCCCTGTGACAAGACCACATGCCACTCAGACAAATGAGGCAAAGAGTGAGATTTAGAAATATAAAGACAGAATGTGGAGCGCACTAGTGCAGTTTTCACACTCTGACAGCTAGTTTATTTCGCTTATTTATAGATAACAGATGCTTGAAGTTCCATATGAGTAAAACAAAGCAGGTAAAACAATTTAGGGCAAGGGTCAAAATATTTAGTGAAGGCAGATTTTAGCTGAACGGTGTTCTAATAACAGAGGTATTTGTCTTAAATATCAGGCTGTCACATGTATTTGATAATTTTGTATAAAATAAAACAAATAGCTGCACATATATTAGAATTTTATATGATTCAATTACTATTTTTACAGGGCAAAACAATGATTTATGTATTTTACGCTATTTCAAC